CCCAATTGAATTCTCATTCACGATTCTCACGTCATCCAGGACTTTATAATCTAATCGATCTCTTGGTTTCGATATATTCTTTTTTCTAATGGATTCCATGAAAGACGACACTTATCTAGAAAATTTAGAAAGCATACTAAGAGATAAACTAAATATTTCCATTTTTCCATTCTCGCTTTCGAATCAGAAGATCAACAAGAATCTATTTACTATGTCTTCTTTGTATTATGTATGATGACAATCAAGATGTGAAATTTATAATTATACAAAGCTTTTTGTTCTCATTAGAACATACGAATATTTAATTCCTCAAAGAATTTATGAGTAACTTATATTTAAAACATTAAAGAAGATGACACACGGAATCCCGAATTTTTAAAAAGATCATGCATAGTCTGTCCTTGTTTCTATTTAATTAACTTTTACCAAATTTTTTTACCTAGATTATGGAGTCTAGCAATGAGCATCTATATTCGACGATTTCTACAACCTGATTTAGTCAAGCTATTTTAAAAACTTCACATCTCAACCACCATAATCACCGTTGTTAGATTAACGTTGACATTAAAACGAAGAGAATGAAACGAACGAATCGGGAAAATGAATCATCATACCTGAAGCAGTTTCCACTTGCTGCGGAGAGTCAGTCGGCAGGATCGAAGATCGAAAAGTCAACGGTGGTTTCTCCTTCGAGAAATTTATCTCTCTTGTGGGAATATCTTACGATATCAGCCCGATGCTGCAGGAAGCCATTTCACGGTCTCTCTACGCGAGAAGATTCTACGATTGCCAAGAACGCGGTATCGATTACGAGGATCGTGGCGAACAGAGAGAGAGAGAGAGAGAGAGAGAGAGAGAAGGGAGTAGTTGACCTGTTAGTAAAGAAACAGGTTGACTGATTCAACCTGGTGGATGCAACGTGGCCGAGACACTAGTGAAGACTGTCTCGAAGCAGGACTCGCAAGTTGGAAATCGGTTGGAAAGCGAAAGCGTTTCTCCCACTATGCCCGTTGTTCGTGACAGTGGGATCCGCGACAGAAGTTACATCCTTCGTCGAAATCAGTTAAACAAATTAACTTCAAATGTCCTGGATCATTATTCTAATTCACCTGCATACCTTTCATCCTGCTTTTACTCGTCCATTCGATCGACTTTTATCGTTGACTTCGCGTTGCAATCCCCGGGCAATCTACGTTCAGTGTCGAGGAGATGTAAAACAACGAATTTCTGTGCATTCGGAAGAAATTCGACAATTCGAGTCTCATAAAATGTATTGTCACATAACACTCATTGTCATATTTAGCAAGTAGGTAAAGTGATTTTCTATCTAAGTTACATTTTCTGTTATGAAAGCACGAGTAGTGTATGAAACAGCGCGATAGTTTCCAGAATACTTTATTTCGTATTTGAAAAGTGATTAGTCTTATATTTCACAAGTATGACAAACAAAGGAGCTTCTAATCCTGTTTTAAGTGCCTTGGAAATAATTAATAGAAGTTTAGTTAATAAATTGCACAACTCGTAATTAGTATCATGTTATATTCTTTAGCGTAGTATATTCGTATAATTAATAATTCAGTGTTAATAAATTATATCTATGAGAATAAATATTTGCAAGATAAAAGTTTTTCCTATTTTCGCTTGTTTCTCTTCTTTTTTTATGCTCTTCCCCGGTTAAGACGAAGTTAGAAATATGAAGACACGATCATATATGGTACAGAAATTTCTATGCCTCGCTACTACGCGTAAGGTAAACTTTCCTTTTGGCCCAGTTTCGAATTGCGCTCTGAATCGAGTTAAGCCGGACAACTCGAGTCAAGTTTGAAAGCGTTATGTAAACGTGAAAGAGGCCGCACTTTTCTTTCAAACACACCTAATTTTATCAATTTTCGTATCAGTTCGTTGCAAATGAAATAACCAAGACTTTCTACAAAACAACCAGTTTGTGCCATCCTTGAAAGTAATCATGATGCATCATATTGCATCACGAACATTATACATCAATCTAATAATTTATATCGTGCTCGATTTGAATTGATTTTCTATTGTATTCGAAATTATTCGTAATTTGATGAAGTGCTAAAAATTTACAATGAAGGGAACGTTAGAGTTGGGATTCTTCATTTCTTTGTCTTTCGAATTAAAAAGTATTATCAAACTGACAATGAGTCTCATGAAAAGTATTATCATACGTACGTCATAAAATTGCATACAATACAAAAATTGAATCTTGGAATCTAATATACATTAATTTATTTCTAGATTAAATCTAGAAGACCATTCAGTTAATTAAAGTCTCATAATTGCACGATGAAGTAAATATAGATAAAAATTTCAATTTTATCAATATCAAAAGGACTGTAGATTTATTAGATATCTGTACAGTATTAAGATAATAATCTTCTTGTTTATAATTTGATACTGTATTAATCAATAATTATCGTGTGGTATTGTGATAATGCATTTTATATCTTTTTATTTGTCATGTTTAATTCTAATTTAATTCCAATGTCAGAAATATTGCTGAAGCTATAGTTGTAATTGTTATAATTATGCTGAAGATATGGTTATGTTGAAAATTTAAAAAAATTTAGCATTGAAATTCTTGAAACACTTGATTAAAATTGAAATACTACTTAAACTTTTAGTGTGATGTGATTGATTTATGAAGCTTGCGGAATTATGGATTGTCCTTAAAATGAATTGAGAAACGAACACAGATAGAAATAATTATAATTAGGTAAAATGCGAGGGAAACACAAGAGAAAGCTCACGAAATCCTCGGAAGCGTGAAAGTTAGACGATTTGTAATTCTTCTATTCAAAAATTTTTACTAGAGATGAAATTGTTTGACTAGAAAGTTGCCTATTTCCGAAATCATCAATTTCTAAAGCTTTTTCTTCGCCATCTTATCTCATCATACTCTATTTTTCTTCATATTCTAACTTCAGGAAAATTTCACTGAAAAATTCTTTTTAACGAAAATTAAGTACCGAGTTAGTTATCAGAAACAATTCAAAGATATTTTAGAAATGCACGACTTTAGAGTTTATTTATTTATGTATTTTTTTTTTTTAAGAATATTACTCATAACATACAGAAATAATAGCATTTCGTAGAAAAGTATATACATAATTAATAGAAAAACTATTACAAAAATGTAACAATTCTTGATCGTGCTTAAAATATTGGGATGATCATAATTCGCATCCTTGCCTCCTTCAGTTTAATTATTTTTACGAAATCCGTACGAATTCCACTCTGAAACATAAAAACAGGTTATATCTTAATTTCTTCCTTTATTATATCGAAAATTTTTATTCTTTATTAATCCTTTTTTATTGTTTGAACAGCTTGCTTAGTTTCAAAACTAAACGTGAAAAAAAAATAAATAAATTAAATTAAATTAAAAGTTGATTTTAATCGACAACGTACTGAGTTTGAAAACTATTTCTCCCCGAAAATGTAGAAATGATGTATCGCGTTTTTTTTTTTTCTCCTTGCAATTTTGACACTTTAACTAGTATGTTTGAATTAAAAAGATTCTAATGAAATTAGACTACTTGATTCGACACAAGACCACAAAGGATTAATTACTTTCAATTAAATTAATTGAATCTTACCTTTAATCCTGTCTTCGTGCTTGAGCAATGTAGGATACCAATCGGCGCTGGAGTAATCGATTTCCGGCAGATTGCCGCCATAATTCTTCGGCAAGTGACTAGCTGGAATGTAAACGTGAAGGGAGGACATTTTGTCACCGTGGAAGAACATGCGTTTTTTTAGTTTCTCTTTGACGAAGGGCTTCAACATTTGCCATACCATGTTGAACAGGAACGGTTGTTTCACGTAGTGTACCTAAAACGTGTAATTATTATTTTCATAACTGTCGACATCATCAATTTTAAACGTTGTAATCGCACGTATATTATGAACCAATTGCATAACTAGACGATAAAAATATACAGAAATATTCTAAATAAAGTACTGTCTATTATTATTATCATTAATTGTAATAAAAGAATCAGTTGACAGTGTATATTAGATTTCAAAGTTCAGGATTTTTATTTAAAAAGTGCTGCATTTTGGAAAATTTTCTCAACAGAAAAAAAGAAAGGAAATTGCTTACACGGCTTATCACGTCTCTTTCTCTTTTTTTCTCTGGTCTTTCAACAATCCACAATTTTCAGTTTCCTTAAAATATTTGAACGAAATTAATTTCTTGAAATCTTTAAACGCACCTCTTTCAGACGCAAAGGCATAGCTTCTTGAATGAAGCTCAAGAGTTTCATGGAGAATGACGGCGTCAGTCCCCTAACTTGTTTCATGGACAGGCCGTCGAAATCCATGATGACGACAGTTCCGTATATCTGTAAAGAGGAATCATTTCCTTACGTGAGCAGGAAAGAACATTTGAAGAGCAAGTCACGGACCAGCGAAGGAAGGACTGAGGAAGCTTTCCGGCCTGCAACTGCAGCCTGTGCTTTACATAACCACGTAATTACAAGTTTGCAAACGTTGCAAAACCGACGGCGTTATAAAACCAAGCTGCCCCGTCGGAAATCTTTATTGTACTCACTTGAGTCAGTGGCTCGCGCATGGCCAACTGATGGATCAAGTAAAACAATCGCAATATTTGATCAGCGGTGACAGCTGTCGGGTCCCAAGTTTTTCCACAGTTGACCACAAGTATCCTTCGACCCTTGTGATCTCTCCCTTTGAGGACGTTCACCACATTATGATCGACAAGGGCCACCTTCTCGTCCAATGGCATTAGATTACCCAATAGAGCTGCGTGCTTCTCTTTATATTGAGCGCTCCGTTTCATCAGCTCGTAGGCACTCTTCGCGTAAAACTTGCACGGCCGCAGGAAAATTAGAAGGAAATCCTCGTCCGTTGGAAAATAGAGAGTCTTGTCCTCTGGAAATCGTAATAACAAGTTAATGACGATTAACAGACTGTAGGTGAATTCATGCAAATATCTTCATATTTCGTATTTTACATACGGAAAGACAGATGACTGAATATATTATAGTTTCTGTATATTTTACGTAACATTTACTTGCAACAATTTTTATAAATCAGTAATTATAATTCGTGATTGCTTACATGCAGCTGTTATTTAATCAGTTTATAATGTCTGTTATAATTCGATGTGATTTGAATTCAACGTCAGTAAAATAATACGAATACATTAGTGCAACGATGATTATAAACGTTAATTTGATTTTATCGTTTTTGATGAAAACTGACTGTCAAAAGTATTTCTCAATTTTCATATAATGTCTAAAGTGAGGGATACCAAACAATTTATGTTTAACAAATTAATAAGTGATGTAACTAATACAAATATTATTCTTAAAAGTGATATTATTTATTGCCAGAAATACTTATACGTTTATAAAAAAAATATGGAATAATAATTCGAGCATAATAATTCGAGTGTGAATCAATTTTATTGTGACTTGTATTATGTGATGACAACTGTAAAAACTTGACGATATTTAAACAATATAAAATGGAATAATATTCTCAAAAAGCTCAAAAGCAATTGATCAAAATATACCCAATGAATTCATTCTTAAGAAAGTATACTTATGGAAGAAAAATCAAAAGATAGTTTAATCACATTTTGGGAAAAGATCTTAGTTCGAATTTTGTATATATACAAAAGAACCAGAGAATGTTGCATTATAAATATATGCCAATCTTGTAAAATAGAAAAAACATTTTCACGAACAAACAATTTTTCCAGAGAGATGGTGCTATTTCACTGTGGAAAATCTAGAATAAACGATTATTATATAACGTAATGCAAACTGTGAAAAATTAATATTGCAAATTATAAAACCATTAGTATTTCAATACGTATGTACATCGTGCACAATGTTAGCATATTGTCTAGTTTTTGTATATTATTTGCATATTTATTGCATACGTGGATGTAATTTGACGATTGACGTATTAAACACATTATCGTTAGAATTTCCGAGTATTACAGTCTGACATTTCATAAATACTTTTTTTCAAATTAGTTTCTTCGAAATTTCTGAGAATCCATTGAAATTCGTTTATCAGAAATTACTATATGATATTTCAGAAACGTCGTGCTTCCAATTATTTGATATTATATTAGAAAAACGAAAGCTAGAAATAAAAAATTACCAATGTTTGTTAGAAATTATTTCCTTTTCCCGATTTAATAATTTTTATGTAAACTTCCAAGTGGTTTCTCAGTTTTTGTGAGAATCTGTTTGAATTGCATCATTCTTGAAACATCATACACATATGATTATACTATTAATAAGAGCTCGTTGCGATCTCTGTCTATTTTCTTTTCCAGGAAGATTATTATTAGTATAAAATTATACTATACTATCTATTAATACGCTAGGAAATTGTTAATTAATATTTATAGTTTCTGATTTCCATCCTTTTGAATAAAATATTCATGCACAATTATCTGTACCACGAGTAATTATCAGGAATAAATAGTTTAATTATCACTGAAGAATTATATCCAATTAAATCATGAAAACAATTCGACGAACTGCTTATAAAATTCATTTCCATCCGATAACAAATCAAAAGATATAGATAATTTTTTTTTCACAATCATTATTTTATAGTGATGTTATTATCCAAAATACTGAACAACTTAACACAACTAACATACAGACATTTCGAGTACAAAATAATTTTATGTGTATATTGTCAACTGACAGTGAATGTATAAATATATGAATATACGCATACATATACAATGAACAGAATTTCATAATCTACTTTCGATCGAACTACATAAAATATTGTACTTTTTATTTTTAGGTATAATTCTGATCTTATGTAAATAGAGGTCTTCCAAGTAGCTTTAGAAACGCATTGATTAACTAAATTTTCTTTATTCTAGTCTTCGTTCCCAAGAATGAAGAGTTCATTTCTCAGCCATGAAAAAGCAATATTTTACTCCGATATTTAAACATTTATTGAAAGAGAACTGAAAGTACAAATTTGTTATTTATTGTAATCTAAAACTAGGATCTATCTATTAGTAATCTAACATAATCAGGCAACGAACGTGTGCAAATAAAATTACAGAAATGAAATCTAAACACAAATTTGTTTCACCCGTTCACATGCTGCAACGAGTATTATAAGCTTTGAACATGTTAACGCTGAACTACTGAAACTTTAATTACTGACAATAGAGAGATATTGATTTTTACACTGTCAAATTTTATTAATGACAAAAATGATGAACTGTTCCATAACTAAAAAGAAAACGTTAACATTTATTTTTTGTAGATACAAATTTTCACAAAACGTTCCACTTGTTTATTCGTTCCAGCACACACACAAGCAATTCGAGGTAAAACGCTACATGGATAATTAACTGTTCTACTTTTCCATTCTGCTGGAATAAAAATTCATCATTGCCAGTATGGACAACTACATTTCGCTGTAGAAACAATTTTCATTTCATTGCAACCGTCATGGAAGATCGAACTGTCCTCGCGTGTTAACAGCGAGACATCTTCCGTAGGAAATTGCCCCAGTGTTCCTTGTTAAGGAAATTACGACAATCTCTACCTCAATCTTTCTGACTTCAGGAACGGAACTGATGGACAAATGAATTTTGAATCGCAGAAAGGAAGAAAAATTGAGGAAGGAGCGCAACAAATTAATAAAAAAGTCACTATGTAAAAAGTCTCATCGATCATAAGTCGAATAGCTACAAATAAAATTTGTATATTTGTTTTTTTTTTTTTTTTTTTTT